TTTTTCTACGAGATTGATAAATTAGACACATGTGCAACTCTTGGGTATCTTTATTGAGGAAACGTTTCGCCACACAGTGGCTTCATCAGTCCATACATAGGAGAAACTTGAAGCACAGGAGGAGAATGAGGTAATCAGTCCCTCAACCTTGAGTCGATGTGTTCAGTCCATCAATCTTGAATAGAATACGGCACATCAGCGGAGAAGCAGCTTATAAACCGTATGGTAGGAGAGGTGCAGCAGTCATAGGTCGTGTCGCATTTGTTCAATGTGGAAGTAGGTCGTGCCCAAGAATTAGGCAAGCGAAGAATTCCTAAGTCGCACATGTGTCTAATTTATCAACATGTCGGTTCTCTGAACCATTCATCTACAAATTCTACGAGATTGTCAAGTTGTGTTGATCATTCCTCGTTACTAGCTCACCACAGACATTTACTAATGCCAGGCTTGACATCCATGGCAGGTGTGGGATCCAGGCTAGCGATGTGTTCTGTGACAGGTGGTATGTAGAGCTGTGAGTGACTCTTTGTTAAAGTACGTGAATGGTATCACCAGGATCCTCAGCTGAGGACATTGTTGTGGACATTGTGCTTCAGGGGACACTTGACGGTGCGGCTGACGGGATACATGCTCAATAGTCCTGTTGATGTACTAACCAGGTATACCACCACGTACACTGATGTACTACACATGTATACTAATGTACGGCCACGTACACTGATGTGCCACATACCCACACACACACACACACACACACACACACACACACACACACACACACACACACACACACACACACGAAAGTTTACATAATATAAGATAAAAATAATTAAGTTATAGGTGGACAAGTTTTTCCTTGTACGTCTTAATCTTAGATAATATTACCGTTGAGAGCCTCCCCTGGTCCCTCCCCCTGGTCCCTCCCCCTGGTCCCTCCCCCTGGTCCCTCCCCTGGTCCCTCCCTCTGGTCCCTCCCCTGGTCTCTCCCCTGGTCCCTCCCCCTGGTCCCTCCCCCTGGTCCCTCCCCCTGGTCCCTCCCCCTGGTCCCCCCCCCCTCCTGGTCCCTCCCCCTGGTCCCTCCCCCTGTCCCTCCCTCTGCCCTGGTCCCTCCCCCTGGTCCCTCCCCCTGGTCCCTCCCCCTGGCCCTCCCTGGTCCCTCCCCTGGGCCTTTCCCTGTCCTCCTTGGTCCCTCCCCCCGGTTTCCCCCCCCCTGGTCCCCCCCCCTGGTCCCTCCCCCTGGTCCCCCCCCCTGGTCCCTCCCCCTGGTCCCTCCCCTGGTCCCTCCCCCTGGTCCCTCCCCCTGGTCCCTCCCCTGGTCCCTCCCCTGGTCCCTCCCCTGGTTTTCCCTTCCCCCTGGTTTCCCCCCCCCTGGTCCCTCCCCCTGGTCCCTCCCCTGGTCCTCCCCCTGGTCCCTCCCCCTGGTCCCTCCCCTGGTCCCTCCCCCTGGTCCCCCCCTGGTCCCTCCCCCTGGTCCCTCCCCCTGGTCCCTCCCCCCGGTCCCTCCCCATGGGTCCCTCCCCTCCTCTGGGCCCTCCCCCTGGTCCCTCCCCTGGTCCCTCCCCCTTTGGGCCCTCCCCTGGTCCCTCCCCCTGGTCCCCCCCCCTGGTCCCTCCCTCTGGTCCCTCCCCCTGGTCCCTCCCCCTTGGTCCCTCCCCCTGGTCCCCCCCCTGGTCCCTCCCCATGGTCCCTCTCCCTGGTCCCTCCCCCTGGTACCCCCTGGTCCCTCCCCTGGTCACTCCCCCTGGTCCCTCCCTTGGTATCCCTGGTCCCTCCCCTGGTCCCCCCTGGTCCCTCCCTGGGTCCCTCCCCCTGGTACCCCTGGTCCCCCTGTCCTCCCCTGGTCACTCCCCCTTTGGGCCCTCCCCTGGTACCCCTGGTTCCTCCCCCTGGTCCCCCCTGGTCCCTCCCCCTGGTCCCCCCCTGGTACCCCTGGTCCCTCCCCTGGTACCTCCCCCTGGTCCATCCCCTCTGTCCCTCCCCTGGTCCCCCCCTGGTCCCTTTCCCCCTGGTCCCCCCCTGGTCCCCCCCCGGTCCCCTCCCCCCTTCCTCCTGGACCCTGTCCTCCCTGGTTCCTCCCCTGATCCCCCGGTCCCCCCCCTGGTCCCTCCCCCTCGGTACCCTCTGTCCCTCCCCCTGATCCCCCTGTCCCTCCCCCTGGTCCCTCCCCCTGGTACCCTCTGGTCCCTCCTCTGGTTCCCCCCCCTGGTCCCCCTGGTCCCTCCCCCTGTCCTCTCTGGTCCCTCCCCCTGATCCCTCCCCCTGGTCCCCCTTGGTCCCTCCCTGGTCCCTCCCCTGGTCCCTCCCCCTGGTCCCTCCCCCTGGCTCCTCCCCTGGTCCTCCCCTGGTCCCTCCCCTTGGGCCCCCTGGTCCTCCCCTGGTCCCCCCCCTGGTACACCCTGGTCCCTCCCCCTGGTCCCTCCCCTGGTCCCTCCCCATGGGGCCCTCCCCCTGGTCCCTCCCCCCGGTCCCCCCTCCCTCCCTGGTCCCTCCCCCCGGTCACTCCCCTGGTCCTCCCCCTGGTCCCCCCCCTGGTCCCTTTCCTGGTCCTCCCCTGGTCCCCCCCCTGGTCCCTCCCCTGGTCCCCCCTGGTTCCCCCTGGTCCCTCCCCTGGTCCCCCTGGTCCCCCCCCTGGTCCCTCCTCCTGATCCCTCCTGGTCCCTCCCCGGGGCCCTCCCCCCGGTCCCCCCCCCTGGTTCCTCCCCATGGTCCCTCCCCGGTCCTCCCGTGGACCCCCCATGGTCCCTTTCCGTGGTCCCCCATGGTCCCTCCCGTTGTCTCCCACTGGCCCTCCGCGGTCCCTCACTGGTCCCCCCCAGTGGTCACCCACGGGTCCTCCCATTGGGGTTTCCCCCTGGCCCCCGTGGTCCCCCGTTGTCCTCCCAGTGGTCCCCCGTTTGGGCCCTCCCCGTGGTCCCCCGTTGGTCCCTCCCAGTGGTCCCCCCTGGTCCTTCCGTGTGGTCCCCCGTTGGTCCCTCCCTGGGTCCCTCCCTTGTCCCCTTCCCGTGGTCCCTCCCCCGTGGTCCCCCGTTGGTCCCCCCCATGGTCATTCCCCTGGTCCCTCCCCTTGTCCCTCACCCCCCCAGGTCCCTCCCAGGTCCCTTCCCAGTTCCCTCTCCCAGGTTCCCTCCAGGGACCCTCTCCCAGGTCCTCTTCCAGGTCCCCTTCAGGCCCCTCCAAGGTCCCTCTCCCAGGTCTCTCCCCTAACCCAAGTTCCCTCCCCTTAGGTCCTTTCCTCAGGTCCCTCTCCCTGGTCCCTCCCCTTGGTCCCTCCTTCAGTTCCCTCCCCAGGTTCCTCCTCAGGTCCCTCCCTCTGTCCCTACTCCTGGCCCTTCCCCAGGTCCCTCCCCAGGTCCTTCCTCCTGGTCCCTCTCCAGGTCCCTTGGCTGGTACCCCCATGGTCCCTGTCCCTGGTCCCTCCCCAGGTCCTTCCCCCTGGTCCCTCCTCCAGGTCCCTCCTCCAGGTCCCTTCCCTCCCTCTGGTCCTTCCCCTACCATAGTCCCTTCCACTGGTCCTTCCCCCAGGTCCCTCTTTTGGTCCCTCCCCTAGTCCCTCCCCTACTACAGGCTCCTCCCCCTGGTCCCTCTCCCTGGTTCCACCCCCTGGTCTCATCCCCTGATCCCTCCCCCTGGTCTCTCCCTCTGATCCCTTCCCTGGTCCCTCTCCCTGGTCCCTCCCCTGGCCCCTTCCCATCCCCTGGTCTCTTCCCTACCCCTGATCCCTCCCATCCCGCTGATCCCTCCCATCCCAAGGTCCCTCCCTCTTTTCCCCCTCTTCTTTCCCTGATCCGTTCCTCTCCCTGGTCTCTCCCACCCCTCTCTCTATCCTCCCTTTTTCCTGGTCCCTCGCTCCCCTCCCGCTGGTCCCTTCCTTTACTCCCCCTGGTCCCACCCATTAACTCCCCCTGGTCCCTTCCCTCCCCTCCCCTGGTCCCTGGTTGGTAAAGTTTGACGAAATATAACTTTATAAAGCGTAATAGCGTTTGTAGATGAATGGTTCAGAGAACCGACATGTTGATAAATTAGACACATGTGCAACTCTTGGGTATCTTTATTAAGGAAACGTTTCGCCACACAGTGGCTTCATCAGTCCATACAAAGGAGAATCTTGAAGAACAGGAGTAGAATGAGGTAATCAGTCCCTCAACCTTGAGTCGATGTGGTCAGTCCATCAATCTTGAATAGAATACGGCACACGTGCGGAGAAGCAGCTTATAAACCGTATGGCAGGAGAGGTGCAGCAGTCGTAGGTGGTGTCACATAATACTTAGAAATTCTCCGCTTACCTAATTCTTGGGCACGACCTACTTCCACATTGAACAAATGTGACACCACCTACGACTGCTGCACCTCTCCTGCCATACGGTTTATAAGCTGCTTCTCCGCACGTGTGCCGTATTCTATTCAAGATTGATGGACTGACCACATCGACTCAAGGTTGAGGGACTGATTACCTCATTCTACTCCTGTTCTTCAAGATTCTCCTTTGTATGGACTGATGAAGCCACTGTGTGGCGAAACGTTTCCTTAATAAAGATACCCAAGAGTTGCACAAGTGTCTAATTTAACACTTAATAGCGGTTAATGAAGCTTGATCGAATTTAGAAAGATTTATATTCTTAAAGATTAAAATAAATTAAAGCTTGATGAAAGTTAATAACCTTTAATGAAGCCTGATAAAACTTACAAAAGCTTATAAATCTTGATAAAGCTTGATAAAAGTTGGCGAAACGTGAATCATATTGATAAAGCTTGAGCACATGAGCTCCGGGGCAGCCAGAATGTGAGCACCGTAGTGGCGAGACGGGAGCTTCTGGACGGTGAGCATGTTAGCTTCGGAGTGGCGAGGACGGGAGCTCCTGGACGGTGAGCATGTGAGCTTCGGAGTGGCGAGGACGGGAGCTCCTGGACGGTGAGCATGTGAGCTTCGGAGTGGCGAGGACGGGAGCTCCTGGACGGATGAGCATGGAGCTCGGAGGGCAGTGGCGAGGACGGGAGCTCCTGGACGGTGAGCATGTGACCTTCGGAGTGGCGAGGACGGGAGCTCCTGGGCGGTGAGCATGTGAGCTTCGGAGTGGCGAGCACAGGAGCTCCTGAGCGGCTAGCACGGGAGCTCAGACGCAGTGCCGTTGGCCACAAGGGCAAGAATTTCGTGGCATCATGTTAGAGATGTTAGTGCCAGCCACGGCTGACAAGATTCCCACTGACACCTCGTTGAATTATGATCAGTGCGCTGGCTAGGAGCTTAGACGCCCCAGTGACGCCCAGGACGGGCGTATGTGGGTAGGGGCGCGGGCGTAGGGCACTCAGGAAGCCAAGAATGTAGGGAGTGGAACACAAGGGTGGTCATATGCCCGGTGGGGATGGTAGCGTGGTGGTGTTATTCTATATGCGGAGACCATTCCTCCCTCCCTCATCTCTACGGTGGGATCCATCTGCCGGTTGCCAAGCATCCTTTTCTCTGACCCGGGTGAAACACCGGCCATGAGCGAAACACCGACAACTTTCAGTGTACGGCACGTGCAGGACTACATTATTGAAGCCCAGCCATGAGGAAATTTCGATTCGTGGAGTTCGCGTCAGTGTGTTTATCAAAATTACCTCGAAGTGTGGATGTTAAGATGAACCAATGAACGGGTGGCTGGGAGAGCACGTGACCGGGTGGTGCTGCCACCTGGGCTCAGGTGCGGCGGCAGGGGAGGCTAGGGCTCACCTGGTGCAGTGCTCAGGTGAACAGTGACCAAGATGGAGAGACGCACAGTCCTCCACACTCGCCATGATTCAGGAAACTCCTAGTGTCATGACCATAGTCTAGACAGACGCAGTGTGTCTCACAGTGGCTGCGCGCGGAGATGTAGCAGCGTAGGCATCATGTCACGATCCAGGAAAGATTTTGAATAATAATGCCTATATCGTGCGGTATGTAACTGGTGTCGTGTATGTATACAAAGGTGGAGTTGTAAGTCAACAGTGTTCTAAGTTGACAGCGGTGCGTGCCATTAAGTGTGTCGGGGAGAGCAAACTTGGAGAGGTGAGGCGGGGGACGTAGAGTGCGAGGCGAGTGTCTTCCAAGATGTCTGGACCATCGACCAGGCGGTAGTCTTGGGCATATACTAGCTCACTGACAAATAGCTACTGGAGCCTGGTGTGGCCAGCTCAGCAGCGGCCTGAGCGCACCACAGACCCAAGCCTCCCTCTCAATCCATGTGCGAGGAACCCTATCCCGAGCTGCCCTATGATCCAAGGTGGCTGCCACACGTCCGGCAGGGGCAGCCCACCCTACACCGCCCGTTAGGATGGCAACTCTAGGGCTCTCAAAAGTCTTCATTCTCGATAAGTACTTCACAGAGCTCCAAAAATTCTGGGAAACGGAGAAGAAACTACAAGGTGAGAGACATTCTACTTTGTATGTATGTATTAACATGACAAATGCGTTTCTCCACGAGTTGATTGGCGGGGTTGGTGCTAGCTACTGAGGCGGAGTTCGCCAGCCACGTGATGGACAACCACTTATTACGAACTCCTGAAACTACCGTAATCCCAGTAGCCAGGCTTCCGAGTTTCTTTCTCTCTAGCGTCCATTTTGGGAGGATATATTTGCGTCTTCTTTCAGGTATTCTCTTTGGTGCTATTCCTTGCTAAAATAAATGTAGAATTTTCATTCTTTAAGCATGATATGGTGCACTTGTGTGACATCGCGTGATGTTCACCACACTTGCAGCAATATTATTGCACGGTGTGATGCACTCGCGTGCTCTTGACATCTAACGTTCCCAACACAACACGTGCAACAGCTGTAACTACAACCTTGACTGTTTGTGGTTCACATTACGCTGTTTCTTTTACATCATACCCGTGGGAAGATCTTGTGAGAAATTTCCACGCTTACTCCTGCATCAGTGTAACTTTCCTTGTTTGTTCGTTGCCCAGTTTCCTCTGGTTCTGCGAGTACGAGTTCTACAATACTGACAAAACTTACTTTTTATAACTGCCCTTGTACCAGGATTTCCTCAGCAGCACCTGTCAGACTGTCCCACGTGTTGTAGTATCGACGACCTCTTGAACTCTGCAGGGTCCTTGAGGCAATGTTTCCTACGGCGGCGGAAGTGTTCCATTAGAACACAGAGGGAGGAGGGAAGACGTCTTGTGAAGGTAGTTGCTCGTGGCTTCACAGTAAGAGTTAAAAATAAACGTTATGGATCGAGCCAAATAAAGCCGCCAGGAGAGATTACGGAGTTTATTTATTAACGGAGATGTCGTAATTAATTTTCTTTTACCAGTACTCTTACAAACTATAATCGGATCCTCTAAACTATGTGGATAACAAAAGGATTTGAAGCTTTAAACCCGATGAGTAGGGAATTCACTTTGGATTGTTTTGTAATTAATAACGTGGAGATAAGCAAGTTACTTGTGTCCTAAGATTGCTTTCTGCTGCAGCGTCAAAATCACCAAGAATATAACCAGGTGTTTTCGTCTCGTGGATTATTATTATCAAGAACAGTGATGATTCTGTAACATCACTGTCAACCCCGAAGCTATGTCACCTTCCAGGGGAGAGGAGGATGTGATTCCGTAGCCTGTGCTTGGATGAATACTTACTCCCGAGCACAGACCACGGACAAGCTGTCTTAATGTGGTGGGGGAATTCCGTGGACTGTGCATGGGAGGCTGTCTCCCATGTACAGTCCATACAGATGACAAGCTCAATATTTGTCTTTTTTTTTGTTTTGTTTTTATTTTTGTTTATGATACTGACACTCAAATGGTGCATCAAAAAAAAGTTAAGATATATTTTGTCTGTGAAGAGGAAAACGCCTGAAGGGAAGTTATACTGTGCTGAAATACAATACTCACAAAAAACATCATTATATTGATGTCACATTATATATATTGTTAGCAGACACCTATTTGCATTATAGATATTCTTTATTAGAAGTCCTTGATACAGATATAGTTTAAGGACACGGAACCCTCGGTCTTGAAATAAATAAAATGATGAGAATCATGGCTGGTGTTCATAAACTTAAAATAAGCATAAATATATAGGATATAAATAGTATACTGAAAATATTTAACCACGAGAAAACTTGCAACAAATGAATAAACTCGGCTAACTTCAGGTTAAGTTATGTTATAGGAAAGTACTGGTTAGGCAGTAAAGTTGGGGGAACTTTACGTGTTTGGGGATGATTGAGTGTAATATCTATCTAGCACGAACTTGGTTACCTAGGGCAGTGTTCCTTTGTTTATGCTGATTGCTTGGGAATGGCACGAGGATTTTTTTTTTTTTTTTTTTGGGGGGGGGGGTAAAATCAAAATAAAACATTTGGTTCGCATATATACCAGGCGTCCTCAAGGGAGGATCCTTGGCACCGGTGAGGGAGTCTCGTTATGCAGGGAATTGCACCTCACCTACCTTTTCTCGTATTGAACCCCATTGCTTCCAATTACCCCAGCCGCTGTAGGACCCCTACGGGTTTAATGCTTCCCCTGTGCATGTAACATACCATGACGTTTATGAGTTGAAATCGTTGTCATGGTTACACAAGCACGGACACACACACACACACACACACACACACACACACACACACACACACACACACACACAAACATACACACACACACACACACAACACATCAATAGATGAGGGTTATACAAAGAGAAAGGAGTTGTTTGTTAAATTTATAGACAAGGAAAAAGCACATGATAGAGAAGTGACTTGCTGGTACTGCAAATAAAGTGAATATGTGGTGAGTTACTGGCAGCTGTAATGTTTATGAAGTGAGTGAGACTCTGGATTATTTTCCAGTAACGTTAGCTAGTATTTGTTAAAAGACTTTAAAGGAAGGGGTTGTAAAAAAATAAGTGAACACTTAAAGTTGTAGGGAGAAGTGTGGTCTGAAAATACAGTGAATTAATACAACAAAATGATGCTTTGGGAGATTCAGAAGATAAGTTGGCGGTGGAGTTTTGAAGAGTGAGTTAAATAAGGAGGTTGACAGTAAACACAAAAAGGAGAGTAAGGTAGTGAGAGTACACTAGGGAATGAATATGATAATGGTATGCAATACCGACAGGTTGATAAGTAAGGCATATGTACGAGAGTTAGGTACCTTTATTCCGAAACGCTTCGTCTACACAGTAGGCTTCTTCAGTCGAGTACAGAAGAGTTAGCAGAATCGGTAGAGATGTGAAGACGATGTAATCAGTCCATCACTCTTGAAGACGTAGTTTAGAGGTGGTCAGTCCCTCAACCTGGAAAAGAGATTTTTTCCATGGTCTGAAACATTGTTCCAGACTATGGAGTTCTAGGCTGAGGGACTGACCACCTCGAAACTACGTCTTCAAGAGTGATGGACCGATTACATCGTCTTCACATCCCTCCTGCTTCTGCTAACTCTTCTGTACTCGACTGTGTAGACGAGGTAGGTAGCTTTACTGTTGCACATATGACTTACTTATCACACTAAGGAGTACAGCACTGCAGTTATCGTTGTAGACTGTTATTTGGAGGTGGTGAATATACTCAGGCAGACATGTTTATAATGAGCTATAGCATGGAATGGCTCACTGAGAATGGCAGGAATGCTGAGTTATTTGCGGAAGGAAAGAAATTTGTCACGATGTAAACACAGAAACGTGTCCAGTCCATGAGTCTAGAGAGAGAGAGAGAGAGAGAGGTGCTTTTCTCAAGACTGATGGTCGGTACACATCGACTCCAGGCTGAGGGACTGATTATATCAAACTTCTCATCTTCCACCTTTCTTCTCTGCATTGGACTGAAGAAACCACTGACGGGCGAAACGTTTCCTCAGTGAAGATTCCCAAGTCTTACACAAGTATCTCTTTCTTCAACTTGTCGGTTTTTCAAATCAGTATATCACAGAGAAACGTGTGTGTGAGTGGTGGGAGGCGCTTGTGTGTGGGGTGTGTAGATGTGTGGGAGTGAGAGGGGGAAGAGGGGGGGATTTGATTTGAGTGGGACTTTGAGTTAATAGGATTGCCAAAGCTTATTCCTTGGGTAGCATTGAGAATGGGTTCGGCGAATATTTTTGCTAATAGGGTTAGGTTTGAGAAGGACTTGCCAAGTATGGGCCAGTAGGCCTGCTACAGTGTTCCCCCTTTTATTGTACTATGTGTCGTGAATCACTATTAAGATGAGTGGCACACTGAGAGTGCACCATCAGTGCCACACTGAGAGTGCACCATCATGCCTGATTATTTCCCATTACCCAGGCGCTGTATAACTTGCGTGTTTAGCGCTTCCCTATAAATGCAACATTTACCAAGTCGTCACCAATCAACAACTAAATGACTGGTAGTCACCAAACAACAACCATATGCTACCTTTGATCATGTAAACATTACCTCTCAGCTTGTAAACATTACCTTTGGGGTTGTAAACACTGCCTTTTTCAGCGTGTAAACATTGCCCCTCGGCATGTCAGCATTATCTCTCAGCATGTAAACATTACCTCTCAGCTTGTAAACATTACCTTTGGGGTTGTAAACACTGCCTTTTTCAGCGTGTAAACATTGCCCCTCAGCATGTCAGCATTATCTCTCAGCATGTAAACATTACATCTCAGCGTTTAAACATTAAGCTCCAAGCGGGTAAACATTACCCCTCAGTGTCTAAACATTGCATGCCAACGTGTAAACATTAATGTGTCTTTCCTACGCCTTACCTCTGGAAGTGTAAACATTAGCTCTTGGGTTGTAAACATTAGCTCTTGGGTTGTAAACATTACCTCTTGGGTTGTAAACATTAGCTCTGGGGTTGTAAATATTAGCTCTTGGGTTGTAAACATTAGCTCTCGGTTATAAACATTAGCTCTGAAGGTGAAAATATTAACTTTGGAGATATAAACATTAGTTCTGAAGGTGTAAACATTGGTTATAGAGGTGTAAACAGTTTATGAGGGGTAAACATTAGCTTTTGGAGGTGTAAATATTAGTTCTGAAGGTGGTAAACATTAATTCTAGGGCGTAAACATTAGATCAGAAGGTATAAACATTAACTAAGGAGAATTAAACATTAGCTCTGGAGGTGTAAACATTAACTCTGAAGGTGTAAACATTAACTTCGGAGGTGTAAACATTAACTCTGGAAGTGTAAACATTGACTCTGGAGGTGTAAACATTAACTCTGAAAGTATAAACATTAACTCTGGAGGTGTAAACATTAACTCTAGTGTAAACATTAACTCTGGAGGTGTAAACATTAATTCTGGAACTGTAAACATTAGCTCTGGAAGTGTAAACATTAACTCTGGAAGTGTAAACATTAACTCTGGAAGTGTAAACATTAACTCTGGAAGTGTAAACATTAACTCTGGAAGTGTAAACATTAACTCTGGAAGTGTAAACATTAACTCTG